AATGTTTTTTGTAAGTCGCCCAGAGTCCCCTATTGTGGGTGAGATGGGCGGTGGAGAAATCTAATAAAACAAATAAACAAACTTCCATGCTACGTTGAATCATTTCCAAAGCATCTTGGGGGTGTCTCTTTCTCTTCCTCTCTCAGGTCAACTCTGGTGGCAAGACGCTGGAAGAGAGGCGCTCCAGCTTGGATGCCGAGATCGACTCCTTGACCAGCATCCTGGCAGACTTGGAAAACAGCTCACCCTACAAGCCAAGGACTCAACAGGTTAGATGTGGGAGACAGGAAGGGGTGGGAAAAGGCCTCCCGTGATGGGATCTGGGCAAAGTTGGCACTGCTGAGATGTTCCCAGATAAATTGCCTTGAACCAGCTCAGATCTAGGCACCGGCCTCCCCCAAACAATCTGCTTAGGCACAAGATGCCTGGTGCGTCTGCGAGTCCAGGTGGGTCCTCCGTGATGCAAAGGCTTGCATGCCCGCCACCTGATCTCCCTACGTCCGGCAGAAACTCTTTTGCAGTTTTTTCACAGCATCAATATAAATCCGTGCAAAGGTGGGGAAAATATTTAGGCTGCAAATCTGCAGGGGGAGGGTTAGAGGTGGGGGCAGAGGACCCAGCCCCTTTCTCCCCACTCTTCTACGGCACACTGTTGCAGGCCCTTGTGGAACAGGAAGAGATGCACATCCTTTCACGCTTTCTGGATAGTTCTGGATATTTAAGAGCTTATAGGAGGACAGGAATGTCAGTCTATGGTCGCCAAAAGTCAGAAGCGGGAGCACCTTTCAGACGCCTTGGAATAAAATTTATTAGTCTGAAAAGGTGCCGCCAGACTCCTGATTAATGAGATCTTAGGGAATCCAAATAAGACAGTTGGTCTAAAAGGCGTCCTCTCCCTTCCCTGTGTCCCTGCTCCTGGGACTCTGAGTCCTACTTTTTCAGTGCCAAAGGATGCACTCCTGGACGTTGCATCACCAGGAGGGAGGTGGCCAGAGGGCTTTTGAAGGCTGTGGGTTCCCTGTCCATTCCGAGAGTGAGAGGCCGCTGGTTGCCACTGTCCCCATTCCCAGCCTGAACCCTCACCTGGATGTTTTTCCGCTCGAAGAAGCAAGGGGCAGGAGGTTCGGCTGCCAAGGTTTCAGTGCCCTGGAAAAACAAATGGCTGTTTTTTCAGGGCACTGATTAGCAACTGCAGGGTATTCGGAAAGAGATTGTGAGTGAACGATCTGCAAAGACCACAGTTGGAGCCATAGTCCCATTTTCTGCGTGGGCACAGGAGGCTTGCCAGCGTGCCATTGCATCAAAGCTCTTTTATGCCTCGGCTGAGCTCAAGGGAACAAAGACTTGAGTTGCTCCGGAGTTTTCTGTTCCAAGGGACAAATAGCTGGCCCCCTGCTCTTTGCACATTGGCCCATATTGCATTCTTTTACTTTTTCCCAGAACCAACAGAAATGTTTGCAATCTGCCGTCAGGGTAATTATCTCAAGGGTTGAAGATGGGGTTTTAATTCGAGGATCTTAGGAAAGAGGGTTTGAATGGGCGACACTGGGAGGCTGAGGGCTCCTCTTGCTGAACATTTCAAAGCTTCCAATGGGTGACTTGCTGGCCCGTTTGCTGGAAAGAGGACATGACTTTGCACCCAGATCCACGCTTAGTAGAGATCATCCATGCTTTTGTAAGCTTACAGCAGGGCTACTGTGCTAGACTGTGCAGGGGGCTACCCTTGAGGATATCACGTGAGCCAAGTCGCGCCTTCAGCATCCCCAACGAAGTGAAAATAAAACCTGCCCAAATGTTGTTCCTCTGTAGCGGTGGAGAAAATGTCTTCCCAAACCCCAGTTCCTGAGTTCAAACCACATGCTTAATCTGGTTCTTAAAACACCCTGGTTTCTGGGTTCACACAAAACCTTGTACTAATAGGACTGGATTTGTACAACATGCTACGCCACAACCCTCCACCAGCTAAGGTTAAGCATGTTGTTTGAAACTGGCTTCAGGATCTCTATCTGACCTTGTAAACTGTGTTGTGTGAACGCAGCCAATAGGGAGTTATTTTATTCAAAAATCTCCCTTAGGATGGGATAACCCCAACCTTAACCCTTAGAGGGATTTCAGAAGAAGGCAGTGACTTCACTCTTCTTAATAATTTCTGCCTTTCACTGGAATTCCTCCTGACCCACACAGGACATTTTTTTTTAATTATCCCCATAAGGCTGCTGGGATGGGATCAGTGATGCAACGTTGCAGAACGTTTGGACCATTTTTATTTTTATTCTGGGGGAGAAGGGCTGTGAAAGCTACAGATGCCTTAAAGCTTGCAGGACCTTAGCGCGGCTTCACTCTTGGCTGGTTGGACGGTGCTGCTAATGGTGAGACGGGGCTACGCAGCTGTTGCTCACGACTCTGTGTTTCTCCATGTGAGGGTCTATTTTATTTTATTACCCCTGTTCCCTTTGCATCCGAGCCCAGCTCACTTGCTCATTTCTTCCTCATCCTGATGAACAGATGGTTAGATCTGCAGCATCAGCTGCTATGTATTAAAAGTTAATCCATTTGAGAAGATCTTAGAGCAAATAAGTCAATGGTAGCCAGAACCTCCACCACCACCCCTCACCTCCCCTGACTCCAGAGAACCGAGGGCTTCTTTGCAATCACTGCTCCTTGTTGCTCCTGCTGAAGGCTAATTATCTCGAGGGTTGAAGACATGATTTTAATTTGAAGATCTTAGGAAAAAGGGCTTGAATGGGCAACACTGGGGGGCTGAGGGTCCTCTTGCAAAACATTTCAAAGCTTCCAATTTGGTGAATTGCTGGCCCCTGTTTGCTGGAAAGAAGGCGTGACTTTGCACCCAGATCCATGCTTAGTAGAGTTCATCCATGCTTTTGTAAACTTACAGCAGGGCTACTGTGCTGGACTGTGCAGGGGGCTACCCTTGAGGATATCACGTGAGCCAAGTCGCGCCTTCAGCATCCC